TTTTTATAATTTTCATATAAAACCCCCTACCTTTTTGAATGTGTGCCCACATTCCTTTTATCAGGTGAGCTTCACAACAGACTTGTCAAGTAGACAAGGTAGGTGAAATAAGCCTCACTTTCGGGGGACAGAAGAAATTACAAAGAACAGCAGGGATGTGTGAAGGATACAGGAAGCACAGTCCCCAAAGGAGGAGTGGATGTGCCTTTTCCCTTAGCTCGATGTAGGTTAGAAAGAGGGAGAGAGAAGGGAGGTGTACATGTGATCATTCCATCAATTCTTTCTGCATCCTGAAAGCCAACGGAACAGTAGCCATCTGTGGGCTTGCTATGCCAACAGTTGCCCCAAAACATCATCATTCATTATGAAAACACAACAGAAACTAGGTTTCATCCACTCACTGCCACCAAAACAAACACTAAAAAAATAAAGTAAAAAAATAAGCAGAAGAAATTGCTGGATAATCCAAAAAAGGCAAATGTTGCCAGCGTTTGTTATGTAATATGTTTTTAAAATCTTCCCCTGGGCCTGTAACCATGACCCCAGCACCCTGGCAACAAGAGAGTAAAAGAATCATCTTTTGCTTTTCTTTCTGCTAAAAACTGGATATGGGGTATATGGGAAGAAACATGGTTACTGGCTTACTAAGCCACATTTGGTTACTGCGAGTGCAGTGGTTCTCAAAGTGTGGTCCCAGACCAGTGGCATCGGCATGCCCTGGGAACTTGTTAGAAATGCAGATCTTTGGGCTCCACCCCTGACCTACTGAATCAGAAACACTGGGCATGGAACCCGGCAATCGAGTGACTCTGATGCACAGTGCACTGGGGACCACTGTGTCAGACCAACGTCTCCCCACGGTATCTTCACTGCTCTGAAGTGAGGTGTCGGGTCTCCCTCGACTCTATCGGAGCGTCAGTTCCTTGTTTCCATCCCTCCTGCCCATCCTCCCCCGCCTCCTATCCCCTCTCCCCCAACTCCTGGTGCCGAAAGGAGAGCTGACTTCGTTCCTGTCCACTCACTGTGGCTCCAGGCGAAGGTAGCCACCAGCAGGCAATGCATGAGTCTCTGTGACCTCCTTGTGTACGTTACATTCACATTTTCCTGGAAGACAGCTGGAGAGGCTGGCAAGGGGAGTGTTAAGAGAGTAGAAATTCTGTTCCCCAATGTCGAAAAGTGTACAGGAAGTGAAAGCCTTGTGGGGAGATGTGGAGCTCCTGGGCACATGGCTGTGGGGAGTCAGGGCCACGCAGACCCCAGGCCTGGCCTCGGCGGCTCACTCTTAACCGTCCTGAGCCCTGGTTTGCTCACCTGCACATCAGGGCTTGAGTGGGGTCTGCCTGAGGCAGGGTAGTGTGAAGGGGCTGGCTCAGGCCACAGATAAACGGTTGTTAATATTATCACAAAGATGAGAAGGGGCGGTGGAGAGGACTGTTCCTAAAGGAAGCACTGGGTGACAACAGGTGACAGCATTGAGAGAGACTCCCGTGAACATCAGGAAGCCTAAGGTGTGCACAAGTCACCTTGGGTCTTGCTAAAATGCTGATTCTCCCCATCAGATCTGGGGAGGGGCCTGAGAGTCTACATTTCTAGTAAGTCCCCATTGACACCTGTCCTGCTGCCCCAGCCTTTGAGCAGCAAGGCCATGGATTGTTCTTGAGCAAGTAAACAGCAGAGAAGTGCCCTGGGGACATTGAATTCGCCACTCTGTCCTAAGGTTTGCCAAGTTTCCTATAGGCAGCCTAGAGATCTTCCCCCTCAGCTGTCAAACTGGAGTTCGTAGGGCAGAGAGGAACTTCGAAGCAAGAATGGATCCACAGGGCACTGCTTGCAAGAACTCACCCATCACCATCTCCATCACTGCCCATGCTGTGCCCACCTCCCACATACAGACACACGCCAGAATATGCAGTCTTCTGAAAATGCCACCCCAGAGGCCCTGGAATTCATGCCATCTGGCCTAAGTTTCTGTGCATTCAGAAGCAGAACCCAAATATCTCTCTCTCTCTGTCTCCAGCAACGTTCTTGTGAACATTATCACTGGGGACCTATTAAAGCAATGGCCAAGACATATATCTTTGCTCAAAGAAACAAATGATGCATAAACTACAGTTTGTTAATAAATGATGTGAGAACTGGAGAATGTACAGGATGCCAGTTCAGAGGAGATTTTCTGCCACGTGAGAACTATGATAAATAAAGCTCTCTTCTACTTCTTCATTAAAATCTTTCTTCTTTCTTCTCTTTAGCCAGAAGACATTGGACAAGCACCAATAGTAAATGCCCCAGAAGGTGGAAAGGTCGACTTGGAAGCCTTCAGCCATTTTACAAAAATCATCACACCAGCAATTACCAGAGTGGTGGATTTTGCCAAAAAGTTGCCTATGTTTTGTGAGGTGAGGAAATTGTTTTTCCTTCTGCATTATTTTTCATTAGAGTTCCATCAATTTCCAGGAATACTGGGTATTATTTATAATTTAATATTAATTAGTAGGGTCTTAGTCATACGAAAGCAATGTCAGTACAAAATGAAAATGCACTCTCTTTCATTTGTATTTCCCACCTTCTCTATTCAGTCATCATGCATTAGCTTGCCCACATTTGGTCTATCAAGATCCCATCCACTCCTCTGACTCCAGGCATTGGGAAATAAAGATAACAAGAGCTTCCATTTATTCCGCACCTTTGATGTCCTAGTTACCATACTCTAGTTTGCCCACATTAAACCCAATCTTTATAACAGATCTTCAGGGAAGCTTTTAATAACCCCGTGTTACAGATGGGGACAATTAAGATTAAAGAGATTCAGTTACCCTATCCAAACGTGGTGCCACGGTTTGAAGCTAGGTCTATATCCTTCCCACTACATATCCCAGCAAGATGCCTATGTGGTCACTACCGAATCCTCAAGAATAAGTAAAATGGCTATCACAAAGACAGGCTCTTAATATCGCCTTAAATCTTCCCTCTTTTCTGGTAAGCTCACTCTTTCTTGCCCCATCTTCAGAGCTATCCCACCAGAGGTCATTGACTTTCCCTTGGGGACATTTTCTCCCTCACCTACCACATGGTGGAGGAGGGCACAGGTTCTGCAGTCCCTGCATGGACAAGAATCCCGAACAAGTTATTTAATATCTTCCTAACTCAGTTACCTCATCTTTACAATGGGAATAACAATAGTGTCTACCTCTTAGAGCTATTGGGAGTTTGATATGGGCTAATATATGTAAAGTGCTTGGACAGTGCCTGGGTCATAAGTATTCCATAAATTTTAGCTGCTAATGCTGCCACTATTTCATCCATTACATTTCCATCCTGCCTCTGACTTTCCTTTTTTTCGAATCAAGTGGTGTTGATTATGTTTTCTCAAGAACTTTTCCCTTCAGAAAGCTTTATCAGGTGCCAATCTATTGCTCTTTACACCCTCAAGGGAACCCAAAAAGATACCAAATAGAGAGGGCCACGTATCACTGTGAGTCTCTTACTATATGCTGTCCAAGTTATAAGTGGTTCTAGTCTCACCTGGGAAGAAGCTGAGTTTTTCTCACCTGGAATGACTCCCTGCTGCCTTCGCTTCCAGCTCTTGTGTTTCTGAGTCTGCAATAACAGAAGCCCAGCTGGAATCAGAAAGACCTCAGACATTAATGAGGACACTTCTCATTGCCAATTTCTGAGCCACCAAGGAAGCCAGGAGGACAGGGCAGTGGGCTTCAAGACACAGGTGCCTGGCTCCCAGACCTCACTGAGAGAGTGCATTGCCTCTCTCTTAGCCCCAGATTTACTGTGGTGGGAGCCGGGTGTCTTAGGCTGCTATAACAGGATACCATAGACTAGGTGGCTTAAAAACAACAGAAATTTATTTCCTATGGTTCTGGAGTCTGGGAATTCCAAGATCAAGCTGCTGGCAGATTAGTCTGGTAAGGGCCTGCTTCCTGGTATGTAGACAGCTGTCTTCTCACTGTGTCCTCATGTGGTGGGTGGAACAAAGGAGCTCTCTGGGGTCTCTTTTATAAGGGCACAAATCCCATTCATGAAAGCGCCACTCTTGTGACCTCATCACCTCCCAAAGGCCCCACCTCCAATACACCTCCTAATCACATTGGGGATTAGGTTGCAACATATGAATTTGGGTGGACACAAACATTTATTCTGTAGTACCAGTCTATAGTACCCACAGCCTTGCAGTGGGAACAACTCATATTCCATCCCTAGAGAAGTCAGTAAGTCCTGGGAAGGAATTCTGTTTTTGGTGTGGAGTTTCCCATGCCTTGGACATCTTTTATAAAAATTAACATTTATTAACATTTTAGAGGATGTTACAAAAATGATAGTCATTGAAGATTTATATGGCATAATAAATGTAATGATTCATGGCAACACCTGCTAACATTTTGGAGCCTATTTTAGTCTTTTTTCAAATATTTGTGTGTATACACACACACATATATGAAATATTAAATATATATTAATGTAATTTATACCAGCTACAAACACATATACACATAGATATATACGAACCATGAAATATATATTAATATAATTTATACCAGAATGTACTTTCTATTTATGAAACTACTTTTTTAAACTTTTTATTAGAGTAAAGTACACATAAGGGTAAAGCTCAATAAATTTTTACAAACCCACCCACATGATCAGCAATAAGATAAAGAATGTCACCAGCACCCATCACTGTACCTTTTTACCCTCAACTGTAAAACTATATAAAATATCATTTATATATTCTTTCACAAAAAGATTTTAATGACCACATAGTATTTCAAAGCATAAATCTACCATAATCTAGGTTATCTGTTTTTACTGGATCTGTAATACATTTCCAATTTTTCATTAATAAAAATATGCTGCAATGAATGTTCTGGTGACCATGCCTTGCTCACATCACTGACTGTGTCCTCATGGTAAAGCCCAGGCATGGAATTTAAGGGCCAGGTTATACAGGCTTTTGATATGTGTTGCCAAATTGTCCTTGAGAGAGAAAATGCATGCACTCTCACATCTGTGCCAGGGGCGCTTGTTTCCCCTCACCCTTGCCAACTCTGGTTGTCATCTTTTTTTGTTTGTGGGGTTGGTTCTGTCTTCCTGGACGTCTCTTGGTCCTCTCTGTCCCTGGCTGTGTCCCTTAGCCCCCAGTCCGTGGGTCTGAAGAGGAACTCTAATGAGTTTGCTACTCCTACAACTCGAGCCAGCCTGCCAGTCTCATGGTGCCCTTTGAATGCTCACCAGAGATGTTCTTTTGAAATGTAAAGCTCATGTAAACCAACCACTGAAGAGATATTTCCATCAAAGAAAGAAAAAAAGAAGCCATTTCTGTTACCCACCACCAAGAGAAAACACATTGCGCACTTATGTCCATGGCAAGAGTGAGGGGGTCCACATGGAACTTTTCAAGCTTGGGCTGTGGCCAGCTTATCTATTCAAGTTTTCCTTAGAAGTTTAAGCCTGCTTCATTGTCATGATTCCATCTCTCTTTCAACCCTGATATTTTGTGGTCTCCAAATTACAAAGTGAGGGGGCAGAGATGCATATGTTTCCAGTGTTTGTTGCCTCCTGGGGACCTTTTAGCCTTTTATACTCTCTTTGAAACTCAGAAGAGGGTAATGAACTGTGTAGGCCCCTGAGCTACCTAGGGAGTGGGTTGGAGATTTCAGGTGGTCTTGAGAGCAAAGGGTCTCTTGCCAGAGGCAGTTTGATACATCTGCTGTTCAAATTGTGTTTTTGGCAATTGTTCTGCTAAGATCCATGCCAGCCCACCTAACAAGGTTGGAGTGACACCAGCAGCTTCATGAGATCTAAAATTATTGCCAGCAGAGCTGCCAAAACAACACACAAGAACCACTCATAGAGTGCAAGGCCCCGTCATCTTTGCCAATCAACTTGAGTGATGTTCTTCTAAGGAGACAGTAAGAAACTGTGGGAGTATCCCTGGTCTCTGTCTGTCAGGCCCTTGTCGGGGCTTCTCACAGTGAAAGCATTTTGGCAAGTGCACAAGAGATTATTTGCCCATGTGTTGAAACAAATCTCACCAGGATCCTACAAACCTCTCTTAAAGGAAAAAGTGTCTGGCCCAGTTTTTAAACCGCTGGAGATCCTTTGCAAATACTTATTCGGCTTTTACTTAAAGTTGAACTAATCATTAACAGTTAGTAGGTTGTAAAAAGAAAATTTCTACTTCATCTATAATCAGACTTGGCTTCAAAGGTAGATATTGCCCAAAAATTTGCATAGTGACAGATTAAAAAAAAAATGGTTTGATCTGATTAGAAATTTCTAGGCCAGTCATTCTCAGGAGTGGGGTCCGAGAAGCAGCGACATGACGACTACCTGGGAACTTGGGAGAAATTCAAAATTCAGGGGGTGGGGCCAGCAATCTGTGTTGAACAAATCCCTAGGAGATCCTGATGGGGTTGAAATGTAGATCAACAACCCTAGGCTTCAGAGCCAGCCTCTCCCTCTCCAGCCAATTTCCCATCTCACCTGTAGAGGATCTGTCCACACTTGAGTTTCCTATTTCCTACCACGCTCTTGGGCCAAGAATCTAAGGATATAACTGAGGAGTACAAATCTGAACCTAAACAAAAGCAAATCACAGTGCTCTTTCAAAAAGATGGGTGAAAAAGGAGAATTTATGTATGTGGATTTCAGAACCAAGTATGCAATGACTTTTATTCTGTAGAAAAAGCTAAGCAATTTGAAATTAGATGGAAAAGTGACTTGGCTGAGCTAGTGAAAAAATATGAAATACCCAGTATTTTAAATGTAATTCAGTAGTATTACTTTCACTTTTGTATAATAACCTAAATTGGACTAGTCGAGTATTGCTGAGAGCATTTCCCAAAAGGAATTTGTAACTGCTTTAATCAAGAGATAGAGATTATGTGTAATTTACATATTCATTATTTATGGGAACTTAGTCATATCCATGGTACTTCAAAAAAATATGTTCTCTTCCTTTCTTGGCATTGGATTCTAGCTTCAAATCCTAGCCTCACCCACAAAACATTCATGTGACATCTCCCTCCCCGCTCCCCGCCAGCATGTTACCATCTCAGTGTTTGGGCTCCCACATCTGTAAGTAAAATTGGAATTAGAATATTTACTTCACTGTATTGCTGTGAAGATTAAATCGGGTGATGCACGTAAATCTTGGCATGATGCCCAATTTATCAAAAATACCCATTAACTAATAGCCTTTCAAACTATTTTGATAATGCCATTTAGTTAGACATTCTCCCCCTCCAGAAAATTAAATTCTGGTTTTTTTATTATTTTGCCTATTAGCAAAGTTTTTTTTTAAAGTTTATTATTAATGTTATCATGTTATCACAAATCCTAATTAACAGGGTAAACAAATGAGCTTAAAAGGAGATTGCAACACTGGCAGAAAGATCTAGTATGTCGAGTAATTCTGGTGTCTGAGATACTGAGAAGAACATAACCTTAGGAGCCAGCAGGTCTGAATCCTGGTCTTCCCTCTGCCCTTAACTAACTGAGTGTCCTCGGGCAAAGCTTATATATCTCTGGGCCTCATGCATCCGTCAGCAACCTTCTAGTTCTGTGCCTTTTAAGAGGCTCAAAGAGCAACCTTTCTTCAAAAGACAAAGAGAAGCAAAGGTGCCAGCTAAACAGTGGAGTCAGCTATTAACTATTGGAGCTACGAGACAAAAAAATAATAATAATTAGTGAGTTTAACATAAACCCTGATCTCAAGCACTTATCAGTTGGAATTACGATACCCCCAAGATGCCCCCAAACTAAGGGGTTATTATCACAGTTTCACACATGACTTTACTGCCAGCTGGAGATCTATATCTGTCATAAAGAAATGCAGACTACTGAAATTAAAGTTGTAAAGATTACAATCAACTTGGGGTATGAAAAATGGTTGTTGAAAGCCTACAGCCAAGCAGGGAAGGAAAAACCATGGGCTCAAAAAATGTTGATCCCAGAAGGTTACTCCTGTTGCTTTTAAGATACTGCATGTTGTTCCTGACAGGCATTTGTCCACTTGTTCTTTGCTGATGTGGGCTGGTTCTTTTCAGCTGCCATGTGAAGACCAGATAATCCTCCTCAAAGGCTGCTGCATGGAGATCATGTCCCTTCGTGCTGCTGTGCGCTATGACCCAGAAAGTGAGACTTTAACCTTGAATGGGGAAATGGCAGTCACACGGGGCCAGCTGAAGAATGGGGGTCTTGGGGTGGTGTCTGACGCCATCTTTGACCTGGGCATGTCTCTGTCTTCTTTCAACCTGGATGATACTGAAGTAGCCCTCCTTCAGGCCGTCCTGCTGATGTCATCAGGTGAGTATGCCTAGACTCGTTACTGGTCATCCAAAGAGCTTTTGCTTGTCCCATGTTAATTCCAATCACTTAATGAGTTTTTAATTCCCCTTTGGCTTTAGAAACATAGTTCACTCTACTTCAGCAAGAAATTGGGGGTTTTCCAATGGACTCGGGACTAAAGAGTGGGTGTCAGGTGTCTGATGCTTTTTGCAGCCTCCAAGGGTAATAGGAAGAAACCAAAAGAGACATCTTAAAGACTCGATGAAATGATCCACCTTCAGTGGACACTACCAGCCTGCTCCGTAGTCTTTGGCCAACCCTGCCTCCTTCTGGTTTGGGGTATGCAAGACATGGATGTGGGTGACCACACCATTCTGTGTTAAATTCTGTGTGTGGAAACCATGTGTGAGAACTAGAATTTGTTCATAGCTCAGCTACAACCTAAGTTTCAGTTATCTATTGCCATATAGCACACCAACCCAAAACTTAGTGGCTTAAAACATCCGAGATAGCTGGAGTTGGGGCTGAGACATCAAATACAAATTCAGATCTTTCCCCATGCACCCTTTTCTAGGGTAGTTAGACTTCTTACTTGGCTGTTGGATTCCAAGAGGGAGAGTTCTAAGCACATGAAGGGAGAAGTTGCAGATCCTTTAAGACCCAGTCTTAAGTCACACAGCATCACTTCAGCCACATTGGATTGGTCCAATCAAGTCTGAGCACCAGCCCAGATTCAACGGTCCACCCCTAGACAGGAGGAACAGCAAAGAATCGGTAGCCATCTTTAATCCACCATAGCTCCTTATCAAAAACCCTTAACTCCCATTGGTGAAGGGTAAATAATACTACTGATGCTTTTTTCTTCAGGGATCCTGTAATAAACAGGAAATACAAAACACATCACACTTTCAGGGAAGCTAGTCTTTAAATAGAAGGTGGTTTCAGAGTCATCCTCTGCCTCTTCAGAGCACCCTAAGTTTAGCTGTGCTGTGGCACTTGTCACTTTGCTCTATAACTACCTGCTTAACTTGTCCATATCTTCCTATGGACTGTTTATTTTTTGAGGACATAGATGTGTCTAATTGTACACCTAGCACCTAGGCCAGTGTATAGTAGAATTCAAGAAATGTTTATTGGATAAATGGCTGAATATGTGGGTAAAATATCAGTCACAAGTACATTGAGAATCCTTTGTAGAGTTGATGCTTCCTAGTTAACTCAGTAGAACTCTTTTTGTAAGCTGATCCAGAAATGTATTTGCTACAGGAAATATAGATATGGCAGGCTTTTTAAAAAGAAATAATTCTTTATATCATGGAGAATTTCAAATATAAGCAGATAGAAGAGCATAATGAACCCTCTCGTACACTGTGGTAGACAGACTCCAAGGTGGCCCCCCCATATTCCCACCTTCTGGTGTTCCCACCCAGATATTCTCCTCCCCTTCTGTGTACGCAGAAGCCGTGACTTGCATCTAACCTAGAGAATATGGCAAATTCAACATCAGCCCCATGTGATTGTTTTATGTAATCTGAGATTCCCCCTTGCAGGCAGATTTACTCTAGAGACTCTCCATGCCAGCTTCCTGGGGTAAGTGACTATGTTAGGAAAGTTCATGTGACAGGGAAATACAGATGGCCTCTAGAACTCAGGGTGGTCTCCAGTGACAGCCAGCAAGAAACCAGGGCCTTCAGTCCTTCAGGAGAATTATTCTCAAAAAAATAAAACTTATCACTTATCTAAGGACTCCCTGTATGACTTTAGGTGACCGCCCCCCCCAGCTTCTCTGGGCTTTGGTGACCTTTAAAATAAAGAAATGGAACTGCATAACTGGGACTCAAAGTAATTTTTTTAGCTGAGATTTTAGTGGTACAAAGACAGTTTTAAATAACTTTGAATCACATAGTAAGTAAGCAATTTCTTTTACAATTTTCTTCCTGGTTATATCTCCTTCCAAAGAAGACAAAGAGAAGTGCAGTGTGGTGCTAGTCTGTCTTCAACACCTAACTCTTGCTAACCTTCCTTTCAACAAAGAGAGAGGGGATCTCAGGCATAACCTCCAGCAAGAACTGTCAGCTAAAATGTAATGAAGGTTTATGCCATGCATCCATTTTTGTGGTTATCTCCTACTTTATAACAAATGGATTTTTATTACTGAATAATATGGTATTTCCTCTGTAGTGAGTCAATTTAACAGATTATTAAGTAAATAATCTGAGATAGATAAAGGGAGTAGGTGGAGATGGCAAAAATTGTGAATGTAATCCAAACGCTATCAAACACCCAACTAAAGGATTCTTCCCAATTCTCTCATTGTATGAGGCTGACACTGCCTGACAGCCATGGAACAACTTAATAACTTTTTAAAATCTTATCCACCCTAGTGATGTGGGCCCTTTTCATTAATACTGCCAGGACCAGAAAAATAGTACAAAACATTGTACATTTGGCAAATGACAGCCACCTATCAGAGCCCCAAGGCTGCAGTTTCTCCTCCTTAGCAGCCTTGTCTTCTAAGCCTCACATTTTATTTGGCATTTCAGTTGCATAATATCTTAGATCTTTTCTTCAAAACCTTTTCCAAGAGCTACTACTGAGTTCCTTGTTCCTGTGATGATAAGCAGAGAGCAAAAATGGAAATGATCTGAAAGACATTTTGTTGAGAACTTTTGTCTTGACGAGCTAAAATCAGTCTTTGGTCTTTAAAATATTTCTCTCTTCATAAACCTGTTTAGTACAATTCGAGCATCATCAAAATGTCAGTTCATTCTCTATCATTTATATGACTACCTTACCTTTATCTCTCATCAAAGGATAGAGTTTTGATGCCACAAAACCCAGGTCATTTTTTCCCTTTGAAGAAATACATCCAAAGGACGATTATGTTGATTTTCTATTTAGATCAAAAGTTAAAGGATGCTGTGGAGAACCCTTCTTGTACACTCAAAGAAAGAGAGAAGATAGGAGAGGGAGAGAGAGGGAGTGAGAAGATCCACAGAGCAATATCAACAAATACAAAGGAAAACACAAAATAAAAAAGGCACAAATTGCCATTCAAGCCAAATAGGGGATTCCAAAAGCCCATATACTTTTTGTTCAGACTCAGACTCAGAAGAGTGGATTGAGACATTAGCCACGACCCTTCCTTGCAGAGGAAGCAGAACCCCATTTAGATTCCTGCTAATATAGACACTTCAATAACTGGACTCTTGACATGTGAGTTCATCTGCCCACAACCACAAAGAGCAAACTGAAGGGAACCAAACAGGGGGATGACAGGCCTCCTAGAGCTATTTGAGGGCCTCATCCAGGTTTATAGATTATTTTTGTCACCCAATTGTCTGCAGCCCAGCTTTTCCCCAGTCATCCAGCCTCATTCCTTTATTCGTGATCTGTTGGAAATCGACTGGAGCCCCTCCCAAATGCCACGGGAAGCCCAGTGGTTTACCCAGGACTTGGGAAGATTTCCAGGGCTTTCCAGGGTCATGGTCTCCCCTCACCCCAGCCCCCACTGTGGCTTGTTCTCTTCTCTGCACGGGGTGACTCTGGCATGGATCCTCCTCTTTCCTTTTCATTTTAATTTCCCAAATTGCCACCAACAGAAGGCTGCTACCAGTAGCAATTTTACTAAAGGTGTAAGTGAAGAGAAAAGGTGGTTCATTGCAGTTAGGCAAACAAATTAAAATTGTGCATGGTGCTTCTTTGTCTTCAAGAGAATTTCCTATTGTCCAACAGTCCTCCTTTGGCCTCCAGGCCTTCCGTGATGTCCCCCATCCCTTTGCACCATCTCCCCTTCCATGCTTGTCCTCTCCTCTCTCTCAGGCAGCCAGTGAAAGCTCAGAATTGTTCCCTTCTTTGTGCAGAATATTTCAGCTATGTTAGGCTTCTCCTTCTGTACCCAAGGAGGTAGGCACTGCCTTTCACACCCAAGGAGGTCATTTGTCTAAACCAGAGATATTTATCTGAACAAAGCACTGATGCCCTTCATAGAAATGATGTCACTGCCCTGGTCTCTTGGGCCCCGGTGCCCCAGAGTTCACATTGCATCCACGCTCATAACCACGAGGGAAAACTCCCAGATCTGCCCGCCTCCCACTAAAGGCCTTGAGGGCAAGCCTGCCCCTTTCCACCTTTGAAGTAATATCTGTCTTCTTCCTTCCCCTCAGATCGCCCAGGGCTCGCCTGTGTTGAGAGAATAGAAAAGTACCAGGATAGTTTCCTGCTGGCCTTTGAACACTATATCAATTACCGAAAACACCATGTGACACACTTTTGGCCAAAACTCCTGATGAAGGTGACAGACCTACGGATGATTGGAGCCTGCCATGCCAGCCGCTTCCTGCACATGAAGGTGGAATGCCCCACGGAACTCTTCCCCCCTTTGTTCTTGGAAGTGTTTGAGGATTAGACTGACTGGCTTCATTCTCATAATTCCTACAGCACTACTGGGTGTCATTTCATTCCATTGCCTAGCTCCTTTTTGTTTGTGTCTTTGTTTCTTTGTGTTGGGAGGCATTGTCTGGGGGCAAAGGGAGGCTGTCCTTGGCATACACACAGATGAAACTGCCCCTTGAATGCAAGTCCTTGTAGCTATTGCATTTCGTTCTCCAGTCCTTTGATGTGAATGCTTTGAAGGTTTTACAGCTGTAGAGGTGGGGTAGGGGACGCTCATTAACTCACCAGCACCAAGCCATCACCAGCTCCCACCTGTCCCTGGTCGGAAACTCAAGCAAGCAAAATGGCGCTGCAGAAGAACAAAGAAGGCTTAAAACTAAGATAACACGGTCATCCTGATACAATCCTGATTTTTCCAGGGCTTAAGTTAGCAGTGCACAGACCACCTTTGGTTAGACGTGGCTATCAACATTTTAGGGAAGGACTCAAACAAATTTTCATTTTCCAGCACTCTTTATTCTCTCCTAGCATCAGAAGGTGGTGTGTACAGAAATATTTGTGGCCTAAAAAATCAGCTGTCCTTTCAGTATCAATTTTATAACCTTATGATTTAATTCAAGTTATACAAGGGCATATGACTCAAGGATGTGCAGATATTTGACTGACTGAGGCCAAAAAGGAAAATAATTTTCTTCAGTGAGCCCAAAGAAATTAGAAATCTTCACCAATGTCAGTGACTCCACAGTTTCCAAAAATTCACATAGTATTACCTCCCAGTAGGAAGCCTTCTTTACGGTTTAGGCTCAAAGAACATTTCCACACAAATCAAACCTATTTACAAGGAGTCATCCCTTTTCAATGGCATCTGCTCTGTCATCTCCCAAGCTCCTGAAGTTTTTTTTTATCCTGGTTGCATCTTTGCTGAACTGACAACAGATTTCCCTATGGATTAAATCTGCTAATCAAGAAGAGATAACAAGCTGAAATGTGAGTCTTGTTCTGGAGGAATTCTGAGGAGAGACGAGTGTGGCTACATTCTAAGTTGAAGGAAATGCGGTGTTCTGAGAGCCCCTTCAGGAAGCTTCAGGATGCTTCCTTCTGGTCTTAGAACCTCAAGCTCTTTGCTTTACTCACAAATGTCTCCCAGTCCCCTTATTCCTCCGACTTTGAGGCACTAAATAGCTTGACTATCTCTAAACAAAGACTAACCCTACCACTGACCCTCTGCCCCTTGTACAGCATTCCCCTGACAGAAACTCAACAGGAAACACCTGCAGACCATATGCGCAGACACTCACTTTCCTTCCCCATCCAACCCACTTCCCCAGTGACCTGCACTGGAGTAGCTTGTGCCCCCAAAACAAAGGGTGACACCTCATCACTTCAACATCAGAAATTGGGCAAAGAATGTACCCATGTAATTGAATGTATCTCATTCTTCACTGGCATAGTAGATATAAACTATCCCTTTGCCTGCCTTTTACTGCCTTATCCTGGAAATATTGGGGAAAATAAGCCATATCAGTGAGATTTACCTAAAAGCAAAGGAATGAAAGTCACTGTGAAAACCAAGTGGACTAATTTTTTGTAAGTTTGGTGGAGCAGAACTGGCCCAGAAGCCACTGTGTCTGCGTCTCAGTTTGTGCTCTGCCAACTGGTAGATTTGTGACCTTAGGGCTTGGTTTTCTCACCTAGTGAATAAGTTATGATCTCTGAAATCCTTCCCACCCTTAATACTGTATGAATTTCAGATGGAGAAATTTAATTTTTTGGATGGTTTCTTTCACATTCAAATTTCTAGCTTTATTGGACAAAAAGTATAGCCCACTTGACAGTTAAGGAATATACATTTGGTACTGACTCAAAATAAGAATTTGACATAATATTAGTGAACTATTTGGAGGCCTTGGAAAAAGAAGAGGAACAGCATCAAAAATCTCAAATATGATTGGAAATAATCGGGGGAGGGGAGAATTATATGTTCAATGCACTAAAGCAATTTTACTAGCTTCTGGGAAAAAGGAAACATGAACATTGCTATGGAATTTGTTAATCAGAGAAAGGAAGTAGGTAAAGAGATTAACATTATAAGCATGAGGTTCATGGGCAAATTACCTGCTCTGACTTTATCTACAGACAGGTTTTTGTGGGGTTTTTTTTGGTTTTGTTTTGTCTAGGCTTGCTTTGTTAACATCTCAGTTCCCTCTGTTTGGCTCTCCTTGGAGAACTACTCTTTGAAAGAGAAACAATTAGCCACCTCTACGCTCCAGGGGAACTCTGAGCTGCTTTGCTGTCTGGAGCAAGTTTTCTTCCAAAGGGCATGAGAGGAAGGCAAGCAGGTGGGTATGGGACAGGTTCATAGACTCCTGGGGCATCAGGCCTTCTGGAGGAAGTTTCCGCATTTTGTTTGATATATACTGATATCCATAGTATATCAGACACCCACATTCAAATGTAAGTAGAGAGCCTGATCTCAAGCGAAATCCGAATGCTTTGGGGGTTAATCACAATGGGGAATTCGCCAAACAGTACAGCATATGTGCAGTAATCCAGCCAGCCCCAAGGAAGGGAAAGTTTGACCTTCAACTCCTTGAGGGATCGCCTTAAGCAGGCAAACCTCTGGTCTAGACATCTTGTTGAAGGCTGAATACTTTATGCTAAGTAGGACAAGCCTTAGAGTACTTCAGGTTGAAAAGAAAAGCTATAGGACTCAAAGGTTCATGAGCCTTTGAGCCGGTAGTCAAAGCGACTAAACTCACTCCTGAAACCGACAGAGGTACTGAGTGCATCTCAAGACTCCATCTCATAAAACTCGGTCGTGAGGCATTTGCTCTGGATTTTTTTTAAACATTTTTTCATGAATTGTCCCAACTTTCAAATCAAGTATGGACCTGATGGAAACACCCTTTGCACCTGCCCCCCACCGTGGGGACACATCCCAGTACAGGAGAACACACCCGTTGTGCTGGGATTCTTATTTATAAATGACTTCACTTTTAGAGATGAGTGGTGTATGTGCGCGTGTGTGAGTGCGTGTGTGTGCGCTCGTGTGTTTGTAACCCTCAAGTGTACTTTGCTCTTCAATTTAGATGTGCAGTATTTCCAGACATAGTGAAAAAAGTAAGATCTTTCCTTCTTTAAGATTCTGCTCAAAACACCACGTGCCGCCTCAGAGCTTTTTCTAGTCAAATGAGCCTCAGTCCTCAATGACGCGCTTGACGTGTTGATGCCTCAGCCCAGCGAAGCCCCCTCCCTTGTGCCCCGAGTGACACCTCTTCAGTCCACAGTGCAGTCACCGGGTGGACTGCCAGGCCCCGGTGCTGCACCAGCAACGTCATTGTCGTTGCTCCTCCGCAAACAGGAGTACAAGCCTTGGCCCCTCCTCGACACTACACACCCCCAGACTCAGCCTCCAAGGAACCGCTGAGCACCCTCAAAGCATGTCATTGTCAGTGATACCTTTTTATTCTACAGAACTCTGACCTATTCGTGTCATATTGACCTTTTGCTGCATGAGTCATAAATTATGAAATCGGTCTTATGGTTTTTGAAATGTAGCCAGCATTTGTAAGGCTAAACCTTTTTCATGAACTGAATTGAAGCGAACAACCAAGCCACAGTTCCTCTTCGAAAGGAGAGTGATGACAGACATTTGAATCTCTTTGCCCTTTCCAACGGCTATTGCATCAGGTTCTAAAATAAGCTCGTAATTTTTCCTGTTATTTTAATAATATGGAAATATTAGCATAGTGTTTCTTTTGATAGTGATAGACTATAATCCATATTTAAATTTTATAGAGAAGAAATTTTATTGTACTGTGATGTAGATATTTATTATCCAGGTAAGGATTTGCCCGGTGTGTATTTTTTACAATTGAGACATTTTACTTTAATCTTTAAAAAAAAATACATTAAACACAAACACATACACACACACACACACACACACACACACACAACAGACTAGGGGAAAAAAGGTTTGGCCTTATCACAGAATTTTTACTGTGCTGTATAAATGTTTGCAAATGCAAAAAGTGTGCATTTCTAGTGTGTTTCCACATTAATTAATGCCGCCTTCAAGAGCAATATTGTGCAGGTAAGATGCTATTTGTGGCTTTCTGTTGCACAGTTAAAACTGACCCACCTTATGCACAAGACAATCAAATATAGATCTGTCCTCCTCAGGATGCAGATAATACTCATGTAAATTATGGAGCACAATGTAAGACAAAAGAAGACACTTTACACATGTATTGTTGATATAGAATTATCAGGGCATGAATGAGCTGACACGACATTATGTCACTTCTCTTTTCTTTTTTTTTTTTTGTTCTCCCTTATTAACTTGGCATTTCTAATTTGACCATAGATCCAAATTAGTTCTCCATGCTCTTCTCAGAGAAAACACTTTATTTTCCATAATGCCTTCATGCCCTGAGAATCAGAAAAATGCTACAGAATAGAAAAAGATTTATGGTCATCGGAAGATTTGTGTTTTGCAAACAGTGTTAAGTGATATTGCTAGATGGTGATATTTTTTTCAGCCTAAAACTCTGTTGAAATCTGTGATCAAAATGTTTTAAACTATCCAAAAAGACAATTTGTATATTTGGGAAAAATGGATTTTTACATAGCTTTTGTATGCAGATATTAAATTGTAATTATGAATATAGTGGGCATAGATAAACTTATAAGCTTAAATTCTAAAAAAGGAAAAGCTTATAACAAATATACTTTTCTGTCTCTTTATTCAAATATTATTATTTTCTAAAGAGTTGCCTGCTCTTCTCACCTCAGTGGCTGCCAAAAAGAGGGAAACAGGGATGTAAGGACACGTGTTTTGTAAACATCTACTGGAATAAGCTAGTGTATTTGGGAGGAAAGTGTGGAAGGAGGAGGGAGAGAAGTATGCTGATGCGGGTTACTTCTTTGGAAGATGGGGCCACAGAGATGGAGGGAGGAGGAGAGAGTTGAGTGTTTGCAGATCAAGAACTACATTTATCTTTTATCTCAAAATGTTCCAGAATATTATTAATGGAATTATATTATCACCTACAAGTACATA